ATATATATATATATATATATATATATATATATATATATATATATATAATCTAGGAAGACAGCTTAACAAGTAAATCTTGTTCATGCAAGCATGAGGACCTGAGTTCAGTTCCCAAGAACAGAAGTAACATAGCAATTAATTCCCATGACAGAAAAGGCACAGACAGGTGGAACCCTGGGACTCATCTAGCACAATTGGCAAGTTCCAGGTTGAGCAAGACTCTGTTCCAAAAAAAGAGGTGGAACGTAATCAGGTCACACATGAGCAAAGGATGACAAGGTAGTATACATGCACACATGTACATGCATGCATGCATACACGCACACACACACAGACACACAATCTCTTATCTATCACCAATAGGAGAGTGTACCAAGTCACGCCGATTCTCCACCTCTTTCATGCCAGCAGCAGTGTGTGTACTGGTTTAGATGCATGATTTATACCTTTGTAGGAGTCCTGCCCTTACCTGTGAGATCTGTGGAATTATGATCATGAAGCCAAATTAACACTAAAGCAATATGGATGGGAAGACATTCTACTGTGAGACAATGCATGTCAGGCAGGCTAGCAAAAAATACATGCAAGTGCCAAAGGGGGAAATACAACAATGAATAGTTACTTTTTATGAAAATGAAAAAAAAAAACAGCAGTGTTTTAGTCTGTTTCAGCATGAGTAGCTTTAAAAGTCTGCCTATAGGTGTTTATTTCTGCAAAGGTCTCAGTGAGTTCACTTAAGTTGATTTCCTGTACTTAGTTTTTGTTCAAACGAAATATAAATTGTATTATCCCATTTATCCTCTATTACATTGAGGAAATACTTTCTATTCATTTTTCACAAGAACTCAAAAGATTTGGGAAGATTTTTCAACACGAAGACAAGTTTGGTAAAATTGTTTATTAAAATCGTTTTAATAATAAACTCCAAAAATTATAACACTGTCCATATCTGTCTTTGCAAGGAACAAATCTGGTGATTTCAAAATATCCCAGTAATCTGAAATCTTTGCAGGAAATATTTTCATGCAGAATTCATCATAGATTTCCCTCTTGTTTGGTAGAAACTGAACAAAATTATGAAGGGTTTGCAATGGCTTGAGTTCTTTTGATTCTCTTGCTGAGGCCCCTGTATGTATACATTCAGATGACAGAGGACAGTGGAAACACACACAGATGAAAGGCAGAATCTGCATTCTTACTCTTAAAACAAATACATTCGCCTGGTATTTTATGGAGCCAGTGGAGCATACGCAGTTGTTCATATTAACACTTCACCAGGGTATAACGGTTCCTAAGTGTTAAGTCATAAAATGTACTTACTTAAGGGTCACTTATATTTTGTTAAAAATCATCAACTTTAGTGTATTTGTGCCCATGTGTGCCTTTGGCGGTGGAGTGTTACATAATTAACATTGCTTAGAATCACTAGTGAGTGATGATTTTAAAACAGTAAACAAGTCCAGAGGGCTTAGGAAATACTTCAGTCAGTAAAGTGCTTACTCTGCAAGCATGGGAGCCTGAATTTTATCCCCAGATCTCATTTGAATGAAGAGAAAAATGGATATCTTGGCATGGACCAATACTAGAGTAAGAAATTCCCTCACCTCTTTTTTTCATTCTTCTATTTAGTGTGTGTGTGTGTGTGTGTGTGTGTGTGTGTGTGTGTGTGTATGGTTAGGTCAGATGCTAATGTTCATTATCATCCTCAGAAATGCCATCTGCCCTCTAAGAGTCTCTTACTGCCTAGGCTGGGCTTGGCTGCCAGTGTGCCTCAGAGATCCTGTTGTGTATATAACCCCAGTGCTGGGCCTGTAAAGGTATGTTCTGCCTTGTGGACTTTAGGGATCAAAATCAGCTACTCATGCTTGTGAAGCAAGTACTTTACTGACTTAGCCATCCAACAGTGAGTGCCAGCACTGATATCAACAAAATATCCTAGATTGTTGATCTGTTGTGTATAAAGGCTTCTGTTCCCCCAGGTACCACTTTGCACATTTCTTCACATATTCATTTCTTATTTATATATTACAGAATTAGTGGTTCTCAGATATCAATAGGATGCATTTGGCTATAGTTACTATGAAATTCCTTTTAACTGGCACACATAAGGATGAAAATTCACTGGTAGTGATTACATCAGAGTGTGCAGAGGACATGGGGCTCCCATTACTTATGGTAAAATTCTTCCATAAAGTGAGATGTGGCCAATTTTCTCCCTCTTCTCAGACCTCTGAATATCAGCCTAAAACTTGCTGTCCCTCTGGAGTGAAATCCCTTCTTCACCTGCTATCCTAATAATTTGCCTGATATGCAACTTATCTGAGCTCCTTCATATCAGTGACTAAAGCCAGGAAAAGAAAAACATGCATGGTTTATGCTGATGCCACACCTACTTAAGGAAGGCACTAGATCCCAGTAAGACTTTAGAGAAAAGTAAAAATCAGTAGCTTTCCACCCCGATACTGGGTATTATAAGGAATAGGTCATAGTGGGAAATCAAGCATTATTTCTCCGAGTCACCATTTCTTCTGTTTGTATCGAAATGGAAATTTATTTTAAAGGTTTTCTGCGCCCAGAGGTTTGTCAATATGGAGACAATCCAGATTAAACATCACAATGATTATTGAGGATACACAACTGTCCCCAAGGACAGGAAGTGTCTAGACTTAAAATCCACACGATATCTCTATTCCTTCCACCATTTCCTTTTCCTGCTTTGTGTAACTATTTGAGGAGTCAAGTATTTTGGGTCTAACAAGATAAAATTATTTCCATCCAGACCTGAGGCCAGAGGTTCCTCTGGAAGTTCCAGCACTATTATATCAGACAGTGTTTGCAAAATAAGAAGCAAAGCTGCTGTTGGCTTCTCAAGAGCCCATGTCTCCAAAGTTAAGCAATGTTTTACTAAATTCATCTTTCTCATTTTACAAGTGAGTTCATAGAAAACCAGAGAAATTAACTGGCCATAATCATCTTGCAACTTCTTTATTTTATAAATGGACTCCTTATCTCATACATACATATAATCACTTTCCTTGGCTGTGCATTGGACAATAGCTGACCGTCATAGTTCAGTATTATCTTCATCTCTGCCCTGGGCTAGAGTTGAGGATGCATGAATACATCTTCATGAAGCTTTGAGCTGAGTAGTGGGAAGAGCAGTACAGAAGAGGCAATAAAGGATTCCCTATGGGGCACAGAATGCATTCCTACTGTTGTGGGAAGGAAGAACATTACAAGGGTTTTTATCCTAGACTTCTCTCCTTGGAATCCTTGTCAGTAATTACACTTAGGTATCTATAGTCTATTCCTTTGACAGCAAAAGAGCATAGTGAGCACACCTTGTTTCATTCGCTTCTGAACTCCCTGGGAACTAGGTCTGCTTGATGAATACCATCCAAAGTCCTCTTAGATTTGTCTTAAACAATAGAGGAACAAATCTTGAGTAAATGTCCATGTGAGACACTTACATGGAAAGTTAATGATAGTGTGATAATGTGACTGGGTCCTGATTTCATATCCAGTTCCATGAGAATATGTGATTGCCCTTGGGACCATCCACAGTGTTTGCAGTCTAGCCGTGTAGGCTTCTGGTACCATTCATTCATTCATTCACACTTTTTCCATTCAATTGTGCCCAATTATCTCTATTATGCATTCTAGCTATGATGGTCATGGGAGACTATATAAACTGTATGAGATTTGATGTTTGAGGCATGGGTTAAAAGTACCAGCTCTAGAAGCATATTGTCAGGATTTAAATCTTCCATCCACTGTGACAACCAGCATACACCTGTGCTCAGTTCCCTTCCTAATGAAATAGCCCTGTCTAATAAGTTTGCAATGAGGCTCAACTGAATTCAGTGTTAGCAGTGTGTCTGGCGTATGTGATGCATTTATTACGTATCAATGTTATTGCTATTATTGTTTTACCAATTCTCTTTCATGTACAGGAGGAATTATTTAAATATTATTGGTAGTTAATTGAGTAAAGATAAGTGGGCTTCTAGAATACAGGTGTAAAAATAAAAAGCAGGTAAAGAGAACTACAGCATTTATCCCATTTGAGAAGTACTGCATTGGATTTGCCAGAGCTATGTGCACACAAGCACCAGGCTGGGGACTGGCCTTGTAATAAGGAAATAAGTGTCCCTCTGCAGTTTACAGATTATAGAGTTTGCTATACCCAAGCACAGTGCTAGTGGCTGTGTTTGGGAGAAGCAAAGATTTCTCTACAGCAGTGATTCTCAAACTTTCTGATGCTATGACAGTTCCTCATGTTGTCATGACTCCCAACCATAATATTAATCTCATTGTAACTTCATAACTACTAAGTTTGGTACTATTATGAATCGTAATGTAGATATCTGTTATGCAGGCTATCTGATACCTTTGAAAGAGTCATTCTACCCTAAAGGGATCTTGACCCCCAGGATGAGAACTACTCTTCTACAGCTTTCAGAATATTTGGGAAGACAGGCAGCCGTTAGGTCATATGGTACAGGGGATATATGCTATAGCCAATATCAGTACAGACAAGAAGTCCAACTTAGTGACAGAAAGGGTCAGGCAGAACAGGGAAACAAGCTTCCTACAACAGTGTGCTGTCTGGTGGGAAACTAATATCTTTAAAACTAAGCATTGAGGGAGGATTTTATCCAGATCCTCAATCTTGCTCCCCCACGTTCTCATTAATCTTTGTCCTGAATACATAAAGATATAGATTTGAAACCAAGTCATCCCTTCATAAATGTTTAATTTTGAGATGAACAGACTTTCAAGATAGAACTAATAATCTGAATAGAAAATACAAACTGAGGCCAGAGAGATGGTTCAATAGCTAACAATACGGCTGTTCTTATAGAGGACCTGTGATCAGTTCCCAGCACCTGGTAATTCCAGCTATCTATGTGGAAATGCCAGTTTCAGGGGATCCATCACCCTCTTCTGGCTTCTGTAAATAGCAGACATGAATGTGGTAAGCAGAAATACATGCACGTAAAAGACTAATACACATAAAATAAAGTAAATAATAAAACTTGAAACAATTACAACATAAACATAACCCAGGCCTGGGAGAATGACTTAGTTTATAAGCATGAGGACCTGAGTTTGACCTGCAAAGCACACATTAAAAATTCAAATGTGCTTGTAATCCCACTACTGAGAGAAGAAGACAGACTGCTCCCTGGACTTGACTGGGTCAACCAGCCTGGCCTAATCTATAAGCTCCAGGGCAATGAGAGAGTCTGCTTAAAAAAAATAAAGAATATGGCATCTGAATCACAACATGGCATCTGAGGTTGACCTCTAACCTCTATATGCACCCATATATACATGTGTCACAGAGAAAGAGAGAGAGAGAGAAATCTGTACATATGTGGGCATGTGCACAGAAAGAAAATAACAGAAAATGACTCAAGGACTCCTATGGTTTGTTTGTTTGTTTGTTTGTTTGTTTTTACTGTTTATCATGTACTCTATGCCTTTCAGTCCTATTCTCTCAAGGCGTGGCTTTGTAACCTAAATGAATTTACCTGCACTGGGAAATCACATGTTGAAGTTATAACACAACCATCACTTTTAAGCACCTACTTTGTTCCAGACACAATTTAAAGAATTTCATCAAGATCAGCAGGCACATAACCTCACAATTAGCTATATTTTGATTCCCACTTTGCAAATAAGAATACTGAAGCATGATATAAGAACTCCAGGAAGGGAGGCTCTATAGTTTATTCTGTCAAGCCCCTTTGTGTTATTGTTGGTTGCAGTCACCAACTTGTTGCTTATCTTTAAGGCCAGGACTCGGGAGAAAGAAAAGCTTCCTGTCTTCAGTTACGTGGAGCTCTGTATAATGCAGCTTTTTTACAGGAGCAATTTTCTGATAATGTTTAGAGCCTTGAGGGACATGGTGTCAGGTGGTATTTGAACGTGAAGTCACTAGTGTGACAATTTATACCATGGTCAAATAGAAATCCACTTTGTGCATTAAGGTAAGGAAAGACAAAAAATCATAAAGTGCCAAGAAGGAGAACAGTTCTGGTGTGTGAAGGCTGCATTTACTCAGGAGACCACATTCTTGTCAGCCTCAGTTTATAGCTCACTGCTCTCATTCTTTGTACTTAGAAAATCTATACATGACACTATGTAATGACAAGAGTAGCATGTTAAGAACCTTTGCCTTTACTGACAGGTATTACTTACTATTTGAAATACCATTTTTTCCCTGAGGTGTTTATCATTAATAAATGATGATTGTGCCTTTCTCAGAGTTGTTTTAAGAACAAAAAAGAGAAAACCTGTGCTCAGTGCTTTACATAAGGTCAGTTCTAGCCTCTCTTCGTTAATCTGTACTGGTGCTACCACCACAACGGTTACCATACACACTATTATTATCACCATCAGCACCATCTCTACCACCATCCTTACCTTCACTGACAGAACCATCAAGATAGTCACTGTGATTACTAACACGTCCACTATTACTGTCACCATCACCACTATCACCATCACTACTACCACCATTAACATCCACCTGTATCAATATTGTATAGGTCACTTGTCTTATTTATTAAACATAATACATGACAATGGAAACTTAAAGAAAGAAGGTTTTGTTATTCTGGCTCATAGTATCAGCGTTGGAAAAGGCATGATGACAAGAGTTTGAGATAGCAAGTTCCATTGCATATGTAGTCAGAAAACAGAAAGTGATGAATGCCACTGCTCAACTGACTTTCTTTTTTGTTGAGGGTTCCAGTGCATGGAATGAAATTAATCACATGTAAGTGGTCTTCTCACCTCCATGAACCTAATCTAGATAAACCCGATAAACCCTCACTAAATCTCATGGCAGATATACTGTTGGTCTGACATGGGTCTCCTCTTGGCAAGTTAAAGATACTTAGCTAACATTATGTGTACAATAAAACTCAGGTAAAACCAGGACAGATCAAAGAAACCCAGAGCTCCAGCAGAGATTCAGACAGCCACAGATACCACAGGTTTCTGCTGCCTTGATTGAAAAATTAGAAACAACTGAAGTGGGGGAGTCCATAGAGCATACACATTCTTAGTCCTAGAGGTTAGTAAATGGTAGTCCAGTGCCCCACAGTGTTTAGAAATGTGCTCTACACATTGATGGAGAAAAATAACCTCTTTCTTTGAACATTCTGAACATGCTATGCCTGTAACAAACTGATAATGGCCTTCATCCTACATTCTTGTTTGGTTGCAGCTCCTTCTGAGGTGACATTTGCCATTGATGTTGGGAATGGCCCTGTTGAGCTCCTCGTCCAGTCTCCTTTTCCTCTAAATGACAATCAATGGCATTATATCCGGGCTGAGAGAAACCTTAAGGAGACCTCACTGCAGGTGGACAACCTTCCACGGAATATAAGGAAGACCACAGAGGAAGGCCACTTCCGACTTCAACTAAATAGCCAGTTGTTTATAGGTAGGAGATATCACAGATCATATTTTATGATAAACACCTATAAGATGATTTTTATCTCTCTAGGTCAAAAAAAAGTTCTAGTATTTTACAATTAGGAAACTGTTAAAATATGGTGTTATTTTTCACCATAAGTTTAATTTTATAAATTGTTTAATTCTAACTTTGTGGTCATTGACGTAAAGTTTATTTCACTCCTTCATACATTTAGGGGCCACCTCACACTCTTCTGGTTGTATTTTTGTGAATATATTGTTTTCGGAGATCTATGGAATTTTATCATTTGGGTCATTGTAATAAAAATTTACAGTATAGGCATAGAGATTGGAATCTCACTCTTCTTAGTGATCCTTGACTTCTAATACTGATAACAATCGTTGACAGAGTGATCACATAGTATGAGTAAACCAAAAAGTTCAGTTTTCGGTAGTAAACATGGGAGAGTGTGCTGGCTCGTTTTACATCCTCACAATGCAAGCTAGAGTCACTTGAAATAAAGACTCTCAACTGAGAAAGTGCCTTCATCTGTTTGTCCTGTAGGTAAGTTTGTAGAATACTTTTTAAGTAGTGACTGATGGAAGGGGACTGGAGGATTATTGGGATTACAGGCGTGCACCACTCTGCCTGGTGTATACGGTACTTGTGATCATGTAGAGGAAGCAAGTGTTCTATTGAATGGTCTATATTATTAGTGAGTATACTCTGTTAAAATTTAGGATTATTTTCATACTCTGTGAAAACACACTGCTGAGGTAGGGTTGCCTTGGTTTTGCACAGATAAGCAGCCTGGTCTCTGAGCAGATGTTGTCAGATGCCCATTCCCTCAGTGAAACTCAGCACTACACCAATATGTTCCCTGAACAGTTGTCTACTGATAGTAATGGGAGTTCAGAAGTCATGGCCTGAATCTGTTCTTTCCTTTATTTCATCATGGCTTCTTCCCTTCTCCCTACCTCATTTCCTCCATCAGTACTCATGGAGAAGCTAATAGTATTCATTTATCCTTGTCTGATAGTTGGGATGAAAATGTGAATTAATAAAATTCACTGTTGTTCATGGTGTTCATGTATGTGTGACAGTATATATGTGTTTGTGTGTAACTGTGTGTCTGAGTGTGCATGTGCATGTGTGTGTGAGAGAAAGATGGGGAGTGTTTTACATATGTTAGTCCACTTCTTAATAAGGCCAATCTTTGCACTATAATTTAGAAAACAGTACTTTGAAAATAAATGTGTCAGAGCTATTAAAAGTAAAGCTTTAATAAACAAGTTTTGGATTTAAATGCTGGTGTAGCTTATTAACCTAAAAAGCTAAGGGTGCATACATCAATGTAAACTTGAACTTGGATTTTTAAATAGACCTATTTAAATAAATCTCAGATTAACATTTCTACATGTCATTCTTCACCTTTGTCATGTACCAACACCCACACTTTGTAGCTCAGGTTGAACCATGCAACTCCATCTCCATTCCATGTGAATTTATTTACTTCATTTATATTTGGGCAAATTTAATTTTTTTAAATCTGAAAATATTATCACTTAAAATGTACTTGCTAAAGGAAAAGCGGTACTAGAATATTAGACCATCATATTTTCATTTCCTCACCCACCATATACATATATCTTCATTAGCTGTGTTTTAGACATCCAGCAGAAACTAAGATTGAGTGATTTAAAATCTTCTCATGATAACAAGTCCATTAATTAATTAATAACTCCTGTAAGTTATATGATATATTAATGAAAAATATTTATTTTGCTTTTTTATTTCTATTTAAACATCACATTTTATTTCTTGGAGGAAGTGTGCCTCTTATCAAGATTTAATATGTTCTCTTTTTTGGTGGAATTAGTTCAAGTAATTTACAATTTTCCTAAACTATGCTTCATGTGAAAGTCTGATTTCTTGTCAGGCAGTATTTATGCATCTTTTGAGATGAAGTAGAATCTTCAAGATTGGCTTTTTACATGCTCATAGCTATGCAGCTATCACAAGAACAGAGATAAGATGAACTTTGTACAAGATAAAAGTGAAGAGAGACAGCAGCATTTTGTGTCATTTTTATCACTAAATATTTAAATTGATCACAAATGCAGAGAGCTGTGCAAGCATGTACACAGGAAGAGACATCTTGATAGACTTGTAGCCAGGTCTGCCTGAGGAGCATGCCTGATTCCTCTATGCTTCTCTCTCCAGTGAGTCCCATCTTAGAAATTACTGTACTTTTTTGAGTTTGTCTTCATGAAACTGAAAAGGGGGAAAACACTCTTGGATGTCATCTTACTCTGTTGATTTATGTCTCACTGTTTAGAGTTCAGTGACAGATATGTTTGCAAATGCATCTGGACAAAGGCAGTTGAAGTCCCAACTTTTTGTGTAATTAATTTAAGCAATGAATGAATGAGTGAAATTTTGATTAGTCATTTCTCTTGTTTCCTGTTCAGTGGCTGTGATAAAATATCCCAACTAAAGCAACTGTGAGGAAAAAGCTTATTCAAGTTAACTATTCCAGGGGAAAGTAGAGTCAGGACCTTGGAGCAGCTCCTCACATCTACAGTTAAGAAGAGAGAGAGAATGAGTACACGCCTGTTTACTCTCAACTCCCTTCTGCTCTTTTATTTAGTCCAGGACCTAAAACCAAAGGGTAGTGGCACCAACTTTTATGTTAGATCCTCCCACACTGATTAACATAATCATTACTTTCCCCATAGACATGCCCAGATGCCAGCCTAATCAAGATTCCCATCATTGAGAATCTTTAAACAGGTGATTCTGTATTTTTTTCAAACTGGCAAAACTAACCATTGGTCCAAATGAAGGACTATGTTCTCCATCACACAGAAATGTGAAGACATTAGATGTTTATCTGTGGCAGCAGCAAAAGATTTCATTATTAGAGTGTGTTTCTTTACTGGAATCGATTGAATATGGCATTGTTTATGTATTGATGTGGAGGTTTCTGTCCAGACACCTTTGCCCACAGGAACATATTTAAATCAAAGCATCTTGCAGTGAACACTGGACCTCTACTGTGATCATGAGTGCTTTCTGTGTACAAGACTGCATCTTAAAAAATAGGATGTACCAACTAGCATTACCTTTGTTTCTTCAATGTGACAGCATGAAAAGTGCTGATCAATTACATTGCTTCATGGATTTCAGAATCAATATAGTAACCTGACAGTCTTTTGTTACCATGCCAGTTAGGAACACTTGTAACATTCCTATATTGTCTGGTCAGCGACTTAGCAGAACACAAATCGGATAGAATGTAGCTTTTAAAGTGTAATAAGTAGCTGAACTACAATCTCACCATTGGGAGTGTTAACAGTTTCATTATCTCTGTTTTGTTAGGTTTTGTGTATGTATATATGTATATGTGTGGTTTTGACTGCATGCTTGCATATGCATGAGCACATTTTTAATTACATATATATATATATGTACATACATGTAGAGGGAGAGATCAGGAATATTCCTTGATAACTTTGTACTTTATTACTGAGTCAAGATCTCTTGTTAAACCCTTGATTTGTCTGCTGTGGGTAAACCATCTTGCCCCTTGGAGTTGTCTTTGTCTCCTAAGTGATAGAATTACAGGTAGCTGCCATAACAAACATGCCAGCTGCTATAGGAGTGCTAGAGATCTGAGATTCTGTTAACACACTTGGGTTGTGATTTAGTTCTCACCCTTCTACTGTGATGAGACCTTGGTGGAGAAATAGCTAGCATAAGGATAAGATTGTCTTTGTCAGACCTCAACATAAAACTGGACACATTAAGTCTGTTAGAAGAAAAAGTGGGGAAGAACCTTGAACTAATTGGCACAGGACATAACTTCCTCAACAGTTCTACACAAATAACACAGGGTCTAAAATCAACAATAAATGTAACCTCAAGAAACTGAAAAGCTTCTGTAAAGCAAAGGACACTTTTATCAAAACAAAATGACAGCCTACAGACTGGGAAAGGATCTTCACCAACCCTATATCTGATAGAGGGCTAATATCCAGAATATATAAAGAGCTCAAGAAGTTAAAAAGCAACAAGTCCAGTAATCCAATTAAAAATGGGGTACAGAGCTAATCAGAGAATTCTCTATGGAGGAATATTGAATTGCAGAGAAACACTTAAAGAAATGCTCAACATCCTTAGTCATCAGGGATATACAAATCAAAACGATCCTGAGATTTCACCTTACACCCATCAGATTGGCTTAGATCAAAAACTAAAGTGACAATATATTCTGGAGAGGATGTGGAGAAAGGGGAACCCTCCTCCATTTCTGGTGGGAATGTAAACTTGCACAACCACTTTGGAAATCAATCTGGCACTTTCTCATACAATTAGGAATAGTGCTTCCCCAAGATTCAGCTATACCAGTCCTAGACATATATCCAAAATATTCTCAAGTATACAACAAGAACATTTGCTCAACCATGTTTGTTACAGCTTTATTTGTAATAGCCAGAAGCTGTAAACAGCCCAGATGCCCCTCAGTTGAGGAATGGATACAGAAATTGTGGTACATTTACACAATGGAATACTACTCAGCAATTAAAAACAAAGAAATCATGAAATTTGCAGGCAAATGGTAGAAACTAGAAAAGATCATCCAGAGTGAGGTTTACCAGAAGCAGAAAGACACACATGGTATATACTCACTTTAAGTGAATAGTAGACATAATATAGGATAAACATACTAAAATCTGTACACCTAAAGAAGCTAAGCAATGAGGAGCACCCTGGGTAAGATGAGCTGTCCTCACTCACTCAGAAAGGTGATTGGGACAGACATCTTAAGAGGGAGAAATAGGCAATAAGACAGGAGCCCACCACAAAGGGCTGTTGAAAGACTCAACCCTGCATAGTATCAAAGCAGACGCTGAGACTCATGGCCAAACTTTGGGCAGAGTGCAGGGAATCTTATGAAAGAGGAGAGATAGAAAGACCTAGAGGGTACAGGAGCTCCAGAAGGAAAGCAACAACCAAAAAATCTG